TTAATTATAATATATTATAAAATATATAAATAACCCAATTATTGTTCCTTATACACACACTAGTCCATGAATGTTTAACTTTTCAAATAAGAAATGTAAATTTCACGACACAATTTGCGGATCACCCTGTGCATCTGTCTGACCACGAATGAAACCGGCTTAACGAACGAAAAGGAGAGGAAAAGAAACGAAGACGAAGAAATGAATGTATCTTGTCACGCGTGGTAACAACCTTTAGTTAAGGCGATTAGAGTCAGGCGACTCGCCGGTCACGGCTGTTATCGTCGCACCACGCCAGATTGTTATTTATAGAGAGAAAGTTTGAGCGTGTACACGCTGTGCTCGCGCGCGCTCGTCGACAGAGAAAAGATTTGCCGTGCGACGGGGCATGCTAATTCTTCGCAAATTTTCAAGGCGATTTCAGTTTTAGAAAGTATCTCTACACCAAGCTATCATCCGCAAATCGAATCACGAAATTATGCTGATTGCGACTTCTCGTTCCTCTTCCCCTTTCCCTTCTTAACCCTCCTTCGTACCACATCGCAAGGACGGCTCTTTAAAAAAAATTTGGTACACGCGTACTTGCCAGCAGCATGAAATACATTAACACGTGTTCTTTCGACGTGACTATCATCTAAGCATCTGAGACTAATATAATCTTTCCTTCCTATCTTTGTAACAGAGAAGTGTGTTTCCAAATTCCTTCACCTACTGACAGATTTATTACATTCATTATTATTTCTTCCTAACAACAGGGAGACATTATTGTAGCGCATAAATTGTTGGAGGGAATTCAGAGGATTAAGCTATATGGGCGACCAGGACGAGAACAAGATCAACTTACCATAAATGTAACGCGACCAATGCCTCCTTTCTCGTCTGTTCCGCGCTATCGATCTTCAATTTACTTCTGTCTCTTTTTTCCAATGCAACACCATGCTCATTTTCTTTGCAAATCGAACTCAATCGTACACGTCCATCGCTTCTCTTCTTTCGTCAACGTTCTCCCGTTCTCCCCTGCTCCTGGTGTCCATGCTGTTAACACGCTCATATGGACACACACGTTTTCACAATGCGATTTGGTCGTTTCTATCGCGTGTGTCGCGCGCGCGATGTCGCCGCCTCGTCCCACGTGATGATCTGCGCCTCGATCGTTAAACCAAGTAGACTGGAAGAATTCGTACGACTTTCGTACATCGTTTGCGACCAGGCTTCCCAGAGATTCACCAGTACGGTGCGTCGTTCGTGAGGTGCTGCCAAGACGCGAACTCGCTCCACGTGCGCACATTCGCCCTAGTTGCGTCTGTGATCCGCGGTATGCTGTCCCGTATGCCGTTGTTCGAAAAACCGTCGCACGTTGTTGCCAGGATATCGTATCGTTTGGGTGGTGCTCGTGGCTACAACAGAAAACACATCTTTTAGGCGTTACAATCGTGTACTGTAAATTTATCGACAATATGGTGGCGTACATAAAGCCTATCCTCCCAAACGTATAATAACACAATTTTACAATTTTATTTGCTAATAATGTACCGTACCATTTAGTACGACGGAGTATTCATTCACATACGAAAATATAACCTTAAAACTGTATTTTACGTGTTTGGGGGACCAGTTTTATGTGCGCCACCCAGTAGAATAAACGTAAAACAAAAGAGTTATGATGGGGTAGTAGATAATAGGTGTAATTGGAGTTGATTCGAAATGGCCTTGAGCATTGAATTTATTATTATGGTGCGGTTATAGCCTTTCAAGTAGGTAGGTAGGTATGATGGGAAGTTGTTTCCAAGTTGTCCTTGAGCAGTGGATTTATTATGGAACTTCTGCTGGGGAAAGTAATTGGATTTGAAAAGGTTTAGTTAAGTGAAATAATAAAAAGAAAAAAAAAGTTTGAATGTTATTCCAAAATACCTACCTCCAATTTTTTGCGAACGATGAAATTTTTTCCGTCGTTATTATCCCAGTACTCTTTTCCATCGGTACGGTATCGTACACAGAACTCGATCACGTTCGATTTCAGCGGCGGAGTTAATCGAAAGCGGAAGGTGTCGTAGAGGATTAGTGCCGGAGCACCGGGTTGTTCGACGTAGGTGCAATGCACGTCCTCGTGGGTCTTCCAAGAGTCGTTGCTCGCCCTGACCACGACCTCCTTGTCGTACGCCAGATTACGTACTTTGATGGTGCCAACCAGACACTGTTCCGACTCGCGTACTATCACGTTCTCCAAACTGACATTTTCTTGGTCAAGTTTCCGGCGAAAGGCAAGGTAGTCGCTTGCTGGTTGGGGAAATGTCACGAACCAGGGTGATACAAGCTCCGTGGGCTCGTCGTGTTCGATTTTCGAGTTGAGTAGTCGACCAGTTAATCCGGCCAAATAAGCCGTGCTCCAGAGGGGTGGCACGTTACTCGGTTCAGACATCACGCGTACCTGGTTCGATGGAAAAATAAAAATATATTAATATTATTTA